GCCTTTAGTCCCAGCACTTGGGAGGCAGAGGCAGGCGGATCTTTGTAAGTTCAAGGCCAGCCTGGTCTACATAGTGAGTTCAGGTCAGCTGGGACTACAGGGAGACCCTGTCTCAAAAAGACAAAAAAACAAAAAAAACCCACAAACACAATAAGGGCCAGTGAAGTAGCTCACTGGGTAAAGGTGCTTGCCACCAACCCTGACCATGACCGCCTGAGTTTGATCCCTGGAACCTACATAGTAGAAGTAGACTCCTGCAAGTTGTCCTCTGACCCCTAAACATGTGCCATGTCCTGCACACACACAAATACACAAAATAAGTAAATACATATCAATGGTCTTAACATCTGCCTAGCATATATGAGATCTGGGTTCAATTCCCAGCAAGGACTGAGAAAAAGTAGGGGGGAGGGGAGGAAGAGGGAGAAAAAGAATGACTCTCAGACGCTGCCCAAAAATGCCAACTTCCAAAGAAAGACCTTCACCAAAATAAACAAAAACAAAGCAATAATGTTGCTTATTGTTTACTATTTATGTGTGTCTATATGTGCTGTGTGCATGTGTGTACAAGGGCATGCTCATCGGTGCATGCACGTGCACATGTGGAGGCCGGGTCAATTTCAATTACCTCCTCTATCAGTTGCCATCTTTATTTACTTATTTTTTTTAAGATAGGGTATTAAGGCTAGAGAGATGGCCAAGCGGTTAAGAGCAACGGCTGTTCCTGCAGAGGAACTGGGTTCTCTTCCCAGCACCCATGTGGCAGTTAACAACCTCCATAACTCCAGTTCCAGGGGATTTGACACTCTCACATTACATAAACAGGCAATATAACTGCAGGCAAAATACCCATACACATAAAAATAAATTTTAAAAAATAGAATGGAACTAGAGTCAGGCAGATAGCCTTTAATCCCAGCTCTGAAGACAGGGGCAGGCAGATCTGTGAGTATGAGACCAGTCAGGGCTACAGGGTTACATTACTAAGACCGGCTCAAGAAAAAGGAGGGAAAAAGAAAAAAGAATGGACTAGAAAACATATTAAGTGAAGTGATAAGATAAACATAGCCTTTCCTCTTACATGTGTGCCCCAGCTTCTAATGTTTACACACATGTATTTATGTGAGCATCTGTGTATGTAGGTCAGGAAACTAGAAAGGAGCCCATGAGAGAGGGAAAAGAAGAGGCTTTTAAGGAAGAGGGGTGGGAAGGTTAAAACATGTACTTTGAAAACGAAAAGGGAATACTGGAGACCACAGGAGCAGGTAGGGTGACCACCCAAAAGGAGTACAGATGCCGTAGGAAACATGTTCCATAGTCAAAAATTAAATTAATAATAAACTCTTCCACATTTGGTGATTGCTACCGCTTTTTCAAACAATTATTATTATACACTAACATTTAAGTCCCCTACTCCTGTAAAACAGTACAGCATAAGAGATTTAGGAGTATCAGTTGGAGAAAATC